AACCCTGGGATCATGACCTGAGCCGAAGGCAGACGCTTAACAACTGAGCCACCCAGGCACCCCGTGTCATCGGGACAGCCTTATGGTGCACAGTGTCATTCAAGACCCAACCTGTACAGGTAGGGTAGCACACTGGCAAGAACCCTGAAGACCAACGTCCTGACACCTGCTCTCCCCATTAGAACATCAGATGTGTCACTTTTGATCTTGTTGGCAGAAATTTGCTCACCTGAAAATAAGGGACTTGAACTAAATTCTCTCTGTTTTATCCAAGCTCTGATGATCTATGGTAGGGTAGATACAGCATAGTCTAATTGAAACAAGTACCAGAATACGCTACACTTCTTAGAAGCAACCGATTTATTTCTATCTTGGTGACTCGGTAAACTTTGCAATGGATGGCATTTCGATTTTTGCTCTTGCCATTTGGAAGCTTAGTTCCCCACATAGGCACCCTTTCTCCACAGCTCCACGGCACGCACTTTGTATACCAAGCTTAGCCTTGACTTTTACTGGTACGACTCTTCATTTCCATTTGCCAAGGTCCTTACTGTTCTGTATCCTGCTATGTTTTATGTATCTCTGAAGGCACTTTGGAATGAGGCACGACAGAAACGTACGTAAAGAAATGAGATGATGGAAAAAGGAAAGACTCTGGAGTCAGATGTGATGGACCCATCCTATCACTGATTAGCCTGTGACAACTCTCCTTAGTCTCTGTTTCGTCTTTGGTAACACAGGCAAATCCTTTCTTTCAAAGTTGCCCGAAGAATTAAGTGAGACAATTTAGCTAAAGTGCGTGCTGCACGGTAGGTAAGCAAAAAATACTAATTTCCTTCTTTTCCCTCTTTCTTTTTTCTCTCTAGTTTTATTGAGGTATTATTTACAATCAAAAATTGTAATATACTTGGGGCACCTGGATGGCTCAGTCTGTTAAGCGATCAGCATTTGGTTTCAGCTCAGGTAATGATTTGGGGTCATAGGATCAAGCCCTGGGTCGGGTTCCATGCTCAGTGCGGAGTCTACTTGTCCCTCTCTCTCTCCCTGTGTTTGCGCATGCTCTCTCTGTCTCTCTCTCAAATAAATAAATAAAATCTTTAAAAAATTGTAATATATTTAAGGTGTACAATCTGATGGCCTGAAATACATAAACATTGTGAAATATTCACCACCTCCAAGCCAACCAATACATCCATCACCTCATATCTATACTATGTTCCTTCTTTTTTCTTTTATGGTGACAGCACCAACCCTCTTAGCAAATTTCAAGTGTACAATACAATATTGTCAACTCGGGTCCCATTGCTGTACACAATTTCTTCAGAACTCATTCATCTTCTTGCTTTTTCTTGATCTGCCCTGAAACAAATTAGCAAAACCTAGTGGACCACTCTAAGTCCTGGCAAGGTTCTCTGTGTCATCCTGCATCTCTATTTCTTATGACAGACATCATCCATATCACTCTGGATATGGGGAGAGTCCCAACCCTTCAAGCTCTATATCTGCTACTAGGTTTTAAATTATAGAGAGCCTGGAAGTTGAAAGGCATCGATGTCACATGATGCTTCTCATGAACAAAACATAATTTGGTGGTTAAAATCAGGAACCAGGCATTAAGGGAACATTTCTCTGAGTTGGTCACACAATATTTGAAATCCCCACCTCAGTTATAAAACAGAGCCAAGTACATTTGCTGTCTCTAAACCCTACAGGGATGTTTGATGGATTTGCAAAGTGCCTTTGAGCTCTCAGATGAAAGGTGCCATAAATTTAAATCACTTATGTGAGAAAACACACTTAGGATAAGGCACTCTGAGTAACCTAGTTTCTTTCCAAAGCATAAGTAAACACCCTTGAGAGTCATGGGAAGAGCTTCCTCTCTGAATGGAGATCTTGAGATGCTTGTGAATGACAATGCTATCATAGTCAAAATCAATATTTTTATCCATAAACAACAAGTATTAAGTGCCCACAGAATGTTCTGCAAAGAAACAGATGGCCTCATATTTTTCAAGTACAGTGGGAAAGATTCATTTCACTTTTTAAAGGTACTTAAGAGAATATATTTTTCTGAAATCCTTTACTTTTAAATCTTCAGAGTAGAGAATCTGTAGACCTAAAAATCATTTCCAGTGAGCTTTAGTGATGATATCCTTAAATTTTATAAGTCTAGGTGGCTCTGAAAAAAACCATTTTTGCTCTGCAGTTCTTCTATAAACATCCTGGTTGCCTTTCATCAAGAAGCATTCAGAAAACCCAAGGAGAACATCGACATGCTGAGAATTCTCTTAGCCTTTATTCAAAGGCTTTGGGAGCTAACCTTACCAGAAGGAGCCTTGCTTCTTTCTTAGAAAGATTGGCATGACGTTTATGACTTCTCTTGAAAGAGATCCCTGATTTTCAAAAGACCAACTAACCAGAAACCTCTTCTTGCCTGCTTAGGATTGGGGATGTCTTCCCTTCTTGGAAGATGGGCGTGAACATTTGGGACCTAAAAATAACCACAACCTGAGCTAAAGAAACTCCAAATTCTATCAATTAGGAATGAATGAATAAATGAATCAATAAGGTACACCCCACTGGTTTCCTCATTCGGTTATTTATTAATTCAAAAAATCATTTTGATCACCTATTATGTCCCAGATCTTGGAGTAGATGCTAAGCAGTTTCAAAATATTTGATGATTTCTCATTGAAAAAATCAGCAGAAATGTACTGACACCTTAAGACAAGCCTCAAGCTGTACCATGATCCCTTGAGATCTGGGAGGTTGAGGTAAGCAGGTAAATGGGGGTGAAAGCTCTTCTGTTGCGGATCCTCTTAGGAAATTCCAACCACTGGGTGCTCTGATGAATATAACATTTTCATAATGTGCCCACTGAGAATCACTTTTTTCTTTTTTTTTAAATAATTTTTTATTGTTATGTTAATCACCATACATTACATCATTAGTTTTTGATGTAGTGTTCCATGATTCATTGTTTGTGCATAACACCCAGTGCTCCACGCAGAATGTGCCCTCTTTAATACCCATCACCAGGCTAACCCATCCCCCCACCCCCTCCGAGAATCACTTTTTTCTAAGGGATCTCGCATCGGTACATTCTTCAGAGTAAAAAAGGATGGGATGGGGACGATCCTGATAGCGAAGAGAAAAGCCTACACTACTTCCAATTATTGTAACTTTATATATTTCATTACATGAGGCATTTTCCTGTATCTAAGAAGTACCATCAGAGGTTCATTGGCTAGCAAGTCCACCTTTACCTGTTCTGTAGCCAGTGTTGTTAAGATATACAGCAAAAGTCCGAGGTTCGTGCATCGCCTGCCATGAAGGTGAGGAGCAGTTCTCATTGTTGGTGTAGACGTTGTGGTTGTGCACATACTTTCCGGTGAGCATGGAGGACCGGGAGGGGCAGCACATAGGGGTGGTCACAAAAGCGTTGGTGAAGGTGGCCCCCCCGTGCTCCATAATCTTTCTTGTTTTGTTCATGACTTGCAGGGACCCTGGAAGGCACAATTCCAGCATTGTTTAGCAGAGCGCACCACACCACGAATGCCCATTGATGTCATGTCACTCAGTGACTCTGTTCCCCTGATTTATTAATTTCCCTCCATTGGCTTGAAGGAGTCGATAATTTGACAGCTCTCATTTCCAGAACAAAATTAAACATTTGGGATCCCACCATCTCAAGCATTTTGCAGAATAATAAAACCCATTTCAGCTTCTCCTCTCCTTACTCACAAAGAAAAAAAAAATGCAGGCTAATCTGATAATTAAAGCTAGAATTTTAGATATGGAGCAAATTCAAAGGCCAGCAGCCTTTTGAAGATTGCAAGAGAACGGGAGCCTGTTACACAGGGCATCAAACCCCTAACCCGCAGCATATGCACAATGCTTGTGACATTGTTGAGGTTACTACTTACAGTGTTTTAATCATAGGAAACTAAAGAGGAAAACCACTTTTTTTCCTGTTAAGTAAAAGTCCCTCCAAAATGCCTGTCTTTAATTAAAAAAAAAATCTTTATTGTAACTTGGTATCCTCTAGCAAAGTCACCAAATACCCTCCAGTTTTTCCATCAGGATAGCACTGCCAGTTTATACTTTCACCTGTTTATGTGTAATATTAAAAGATAGATTGTCTGCTTATGAAAGAGCAATGATTCTATTGCACTCAAAAGTATTTGCATGGAGTAAAGTATTCCATTTTGACTGCAAAGGATGAAATTGTAACATAAGATTGCCGAGGAAGAAAAAAACGACTTCGATTACTCTATCCAGCCAAATACTGTCGCTGAAACACATCCAAATACTGCAGAAAAAAAGCACAGGCTAGAATTCAATAGTCTTTTCAGGACTTGTCAAGAAATGCACTACAGAGCACCACAGCCAAGCCCATTGCATTTGAATCCTGGAGCCTCACATTTCCAACAGGTCCCACTTCTTCCAAAGAAAGGGAGAAAGTCTATGTAGTTTTCCAGCAAGGAAGGAAATCGTAATGCAAACCAGGCAAGCATTCAGAGCAGAAGAGAAGTGTGCAATGGTCCAAAAAGCCACAGTTAGCCTGATTTTTTCACGTATTAGCTCTTACTGTTCACATGAAACATATGAAAACAGGAGGAAGGTTTCTAATTGGGTCTCATTAGAGCTTCCTAAAACAGGCTTCAGTTAGGAGGATTCCTAACTGCTTTTTCTCCTCTGGTTGTCTTCGGCGGATCAAGCAACCTTTTTGTAATCGGTGAATAACGTGGAGTGAGTGCCCACTTCATGCTCAACATTCTATCAACCTCAGCACTCTGGGTTGCTCCCCCAAGTGTAGCATTAACAAAAGAAATGGAAAATTCTCTGCTGCCTCGGTCTTTAGTGGTAAACTATCTAGCCGAGAACCGACATATAGAAACCACTTGGGGCTATTTGCAAAGCCATGTAAGAGTGTGGGGACAGCGGTAGTGGTACAAATAAGGTTAGGGAGGACCGAAGGGGATGTCTGATGAGAGTTCTGAAACAAGAGACGAGGACAAATGGAAGGAGAGCAGGAAGAAAAACACAAGACGGGTGAAGTGTGTTCGTGGCAGCATGGGGAGGATGGTGTGTGTGCTCTGGAGGTGGGAGGAAGTCGAGGGATGAGTACAGCACATTGATTTCCTAGGATGAAAAAGAACAGGGGGAATTCTCTTGATGAAACACAGAAGGTAGAGTTAGTGAATGGCTTCGAGGCTGGGCAGAGATATTTGGATTGATAGAATAGCCAAAATGAAGGCAGAATGGTTTCTCTGTCAAAGGAATGAACGGCATGATATGGAAAACGTCTTTGAGGGGTGTTGTTGTGGCAACGGGGGATGGAGGTATGTGCATGGAGGAGGAAATAGGCTGGTCCACCAAGGTTAGAGCCAAGAGGTTGCTAAAGCCATTAGGCCATGAGGTGATATAGACTTGATCTGGACTATGCCTCTAAAACGGAGGGAGCCTCGAAGAAACAGATCCAAGAGACGTTGTCATGCATCAGAAGATAATGAGTTGACTAATAATACCTCAACGTTTTCAGCACAGGAAGAAAACTGGAAAAGTAATGGTTTCACTGTCGCTCAAGAAGTAACTAAAAAGACAGATGCCCTGTAGAAGATCAAGGAGGTCCATTTCAGAAATGTGTTTTATATTTATTGATCAGGTGGGGGAAACGTCCTGGAGATGGAGATAAATAGATGGATAGAGACATGGGAGTGGGGAGAGAGTGAAAGGTAGATGGTTGCGTCTATTCACTTACTCCTCTCTCCTCTTTACACCTCTGCAGTGCTTACTTAGTGTAGTATCTTGAATTTTGGGAAACTGAGCAAACACTACTGATGGATTTTCATTGTCTACTATGCTCTTTATTACAAAGGATGGGCTATCAATTTCCTTTATGAGCCCTAGCTGAACTCATATTAAAAAAAGCACTGGACAAACAGACTATGGACTCTGAGAAACAAACTGAGGGTTCTAGAGGGGAGGGGGTGGGGGGATGGGTTAGCCTGGTGATGGGTATTAAAGAGGGCACGTACTGCATGGAGCACTGGGTGTTATATGCAAACAATGAATCATGGAACACTACATCAAAAACTAATGATGTAATCTATGGTGATTAACATAATAAAAAAATTAAAAAAAAAAAGGCACTGGAAACCATCCTCCAAGGTCCTGAATCGCCTGCAATCTCCTGTTTACAGACTCATTCAGACTGCAAATATAGGATGGTAGGTAGAAATCGGATCTAAGGTCAAATAATATACAAAGTGGTACCAAAACTTAGCCCAATTCATAATTTGGACTTGCTCCAGCAAGGGCTCCCCTCCCATTCTAAATGTCACTCTTTTAATGAACTAGGCAGATTATGTTGAGGTCCTAAACAATCTGTCCAAATTCCAACCAGTCCCTAAGTCAAAGGGATTTATGAGGACATTTGGTCCCTGGAGTCACCGTGACCACTGCAGCCCCAACATTAGGATTTGTAAAGGTGGGTATCTGGCCTGAAGTTTCTCAGTAAAGAATAGATTCTGAGACAATGTTCCTTCAACTTTAAACATCACTTGGAGAGCATGTTACATCAGAATTCTGGGCCCGCCCTGCGATGCTGATTTCAGAAGACGTGGGAAGGCCCCAGAGAATTTGCACTTCCAACAAGCTCCCCGGTGAGGCCGCTGCTCCCTGTCCATGGACCACACTCATGCTCAGAGAAGTAGTCCGGGTTGGACACAGAAGCAGGGAAGCCGAGAGCTGGGCGAGACTTTAGCAGGTGCCTCTAGGCGGCTCAGCCAACTCCCGAGGCTGTAAGTTACGGCAGACCGGAATCAGAAACATCCATGTCATGCTTACTGTCAGCGAGGTTCTCTTCTGAGCCCTCACACTCATCAACTCATTTTTTTTTTTTAATTTATTTGAGAGAGAGAGAATGAGAGATAGAGAGCACGAGAGGGAAGAGGGTCAGAGGGAGAAGCAGACTCCCCGTTGAGCAGGGAGCCCAATGCGGAACTCGATCCCGGGACTCCAGGATCATGACCTGAGCCGAAGGCAGTCGTTTAACCAACTGAGCCACCCAGGCGCCCCCTCATCAACTCATTTAATCCTGATGATAAGCCTTAATAGCAGGTGCTCTTATCTATTATTCCCATATAAGTATCACAGATGATAAAACTGAGGGGCAGAAGGGCTAAATAACATTCCGAGGGCCACACATAGCCTAGGTCGCCAAGCCCAGAAGCAAATGCAGGCAATCTGCTCCAGAGACCGTGCTCTTAAGCTCCATCTAGGCTGAGCACCCGCTGTGACATTGACGTTTTCAAGACTGAGAAACAGAAAAGGTGTCTGCTCATAGTCAAGATATGTCTCACTTTCCTCAGACTGATATTTCATCTAGCCTCTTTAGAGGAGACACTGACACACACGAATGCCTGCCTCCCACCCACCTTCCCCCCAAGGGCTGAAGGATCTCAGGAGCTCAGGCCTAGTGAGGGCTGAGAGGGCCGTAGACGTGTCTGACTTCGTAGCTGGCGTGAAATGCCACCTCTGATCTTGGTGGGTTCTCCGCAGATGATGGAGCCCAGGAACCCTCCCTCTTCACTCTGAATTAGTATGCAACAGGAAGGAAAGCACGAAGCACCTTCTTTTTCATGGCTGTGCGATGATTAATGTCGGGCAGTAACACCGCCTCCCTCACTGAGGGAGACTGCACCACTGACTTTTCCTTGGGAAACTCTCCCAAAAGCTGGTCTGTAATGAAACTCATCGTTCCACACTTAGAGCTGTTGAAATGAATGAATGGGACGATGTCCTGCCTCACTGTTGGAAGAGCTCAGTTTTGTTTTAAGCTGCAACTGCTCACCTCTCCGAGGTTCAGGCCTTCGGTGCCTAAAACGCTAATCGTGCCGATTCTCAGTTATTAGAACAATTATTTCATAGGAATGAGAAGAAGCTTAAGGCCGAAGACTCGTAACAAGATTCACAAGGCAGGGCTTAGGAGGGTAAGAAGGAGAAGAGAGCCTTGAACTTGAACTGGTGGGAAAACATCTGGATTTGGCCACAGATCAGCTTGATCAAGTCACCTACTCTCTTTTGGTCTGAATGTCTCATCTGTAAAATGGAGCTAAGAATCATTCCCCAACTAGATCACAGGGTTGTTGAGGAGCAAATGGCCTGATGCTCGCTGTTAGAGCACTTCACACAAGGAGTGTTGTCAGGGGCACTGGGGTTTCACTGTGCGCTCACCTCAACCCACCGTGTTAATTTCCTCCTGTCTTTTTCATCCCCGTGTCCATAAGTTACATCTGAATTCCAAAAGTGGGTTTAAGAGTAAACAGGTGCCATAGACTGAATACTCGTGTCCCCCGCCCCCTCCCCCGACAAATGCATATGTTGAAACCTAATGACCAGGACGATGGTATTAGGAGGTGGGGCCTTTGGGAGGCGATTAGCTTATGAAGGTGGGGCCCTCATGAATGGGATTAATGCCCTTATATAAGAGACCCCACTA